AGGCCCTGCTAATGAGAACCAGGAGACAGTGCTGCACACTGGCATTGTGGACTTCGCAGTCACAGCCGCGTGAGAATTGGGTCACCCGGACCTCAGCCCCCCGCTGGACAGCCGTGTGACTCGAGTGACAGAAGAAGAAAAGCAATGTTTTCAGTGGCATTAAGTGGGGGGGGGGGGTGTTGTGTTCCATCACTTGTGGCCCTGACCTCCTACCATAAAGTGGGTGTTGTGTTCAGTCCGTCTGAGAGTGACGTACCCCCCCCCCCCCCCTGCACAGAGTCACCCACACTCACTCCTCCGTGTGTCGGCTGGCACGCCATAGAGTTCGCTGGCACACTCTGTGTAACAGTGAAGCTGATCCTCTCTGACCACCAGGCAGCATAGTGGTTAAGAACGTGGAATCGTAACTGCAAGGTTGTTGGTTCAAGTCCTGGAAGGGAATTAATGTGTATGATACTTAATCTGGAATTGCTACCAAAAATATTTTTATGTATTATTGTATATTATATTTTAATATAATTTTGATTATGAGATGCTCAATTAAGCAGCTAAAAATAAACAGCTTGACATTTGAGCCGTCTTAAACCCGGATTGCAGTGCGCCGTAAGAGACGCCCGTTCATTTCCCCACCGTCTTGCCGGCACCTCCTGTAGACCCCCCTTATCAGCTGCGGTCTTGCATGAGGACGTCACATTCGTTCAGAGACCGCGAGTGTTGCCGGACTCAAACGATTGAACAGTGACGGGGAACATTTCAGACATCACGTTGTCCTGAAATGTCCTGCAAAAAAGTTTCATGCTGATTAATTTTTAAACATTATGATTTAATCTCATGCCTTTCTGCTTACATAAAACGACAGGACATATTTTTAAAGTGCTTAGTGGTAGAGGTCAATGTTAGTGGTGCAATGGTTTCCCTGCACTCACTCCACTGTCACTGTTTACTGTTGTTTACTATTGGTTCTTACTGTCTATCATACTTTCTAAATGTGTAATCCTGCATGTTCCTTTGGAATTAGCCAGTATCTGTCTATTATTGCTGCACCCGATTATTTCGAGAACCGACTCTGATGCTGAAACTGATTGTTTGGGAGGTTCTGCTTATATAAGTTTAAAGGCCGACACCCCCCAAATAAATTAAAAAATAAATTAATTACATAACAAAAATATGAAAAAGTATTTTTTTTGGTAAAAAAAAAATCACCAACTCTGGTATACAGCAACAGTCCCAGAACACTCTATTTTATAACTGCAGGCATCTTTTGTGTTTATAACATTTATAACAGAGAAGGGCTGAGCATCGAGTGTGATAGACTTCTACTTTTCTGAGTGTCTTTTGATTTAGCTCTTTCTGCACTGAATTTTTCTCTTGCATTACTGACAGACTAGTGTTATACAGCAGTACTGTAGGATTTGTTTTTCAGAAACTCATCATACTCTTTCCTGCCTCACCTTAAGGTGAGCAATCAAATTTGTCATGTTGAAATGTTTATTAGTAGAGTAGTTCCTCTTCATTAAATGATATCAGAGCAGTGTTTGCAAAATGCATTTCTAACATCATTTTCACTAACAATAAATTCCACACAGCAGACATTTTTCTAACTGTTTAGTACAAGGGTCTGCAAAGCAATATGGGTCATTTTGAAGGGAATTATCATTTTTAACCATCGGCTGATGGCCGATTGTCGCTGTATCGGCTGATAACGATGTTTGGCTGAAACAATCAGTGCATCTCTTCTGTCTGTCTGTCCAGCTGTTAATTCTCTGCCATGATGTCATAGTGTGTGCGGCGCGATGAGTTCCGCAGGCTGCTGTGGTGCACACACACACGTCTTTGGTCATGGCGGGGGTGTCGTCCCAGTGTGGGGCTGTCACTCGTCACACGTCCCCCTTTATTCTCGCTGCGCCGTCCCGTCCCGGCCGGTCTGGGGCACTCCGCCCCCGGGACCTCGGGGAGAACGGCTCGCAAACAGACGGGACCCCTGGAGACGTACCTGCCCCTCTCTGTATTTCAGATCACCGTGTGGAAGAGATACAGCGACTTCCGGAAGCTTCACCGGGACCTCTGGCAGATTCACTGCAGTCTCTGTCAGCAGTTGGAGCTCTTCCCCCCCTTCGCCAAGGCCAAGGTGTTCGGTAGGACCGCGTGTAGGGTGGGGTGGGGTCGGGGGGAGACCCCAGCTCTCTGTCGGTGGGACTGGTGTTGGTTTGCTCTATGCTGCATATCTCGGCTCTGCTTTACACCCCTCGGAACAGAGGAGGTTAATTTTCTGAGCCCCGGAACGGTGGCTTGGGGGAGATCCCCAATTTTGCCGCAGGGCACGCACACACGTGGGGGGGCTTCTTTTAACATGCGTGGTCTCATGCAGCCTCATAAGACATGGCTGTAAGCAAAGCGGGGAAGTGGTTTATGGAAGGAAAGCAAGGTCAGCTGGAGTGTTCAGTTTTCTGCCAGTTAGGAATGGAAGAGGTACACCTTGGTGTAATGGAGTTGGAATTTAAATCTTCCTGAAATTCGAATTCAATTCCAATACTGTTCCCCATATTTTTTCCAATCCCAACTCCAGTTCTATCTGATTTGGACTGGAATTGATAAATGCATTCCGGAATGGCCCCCACCCCGTTAGTGTTAGAGTAGCAGCTGGGCTTGGCCTGGGGATCTAATTGGTCCAAAGAAACTCGCGTGTGGCCTTCAGCGTGTGGCTAAGTGGGCTAATCCTGTGTGCCTGTAATCAGAAGGTCACCGGTTCAAACCCAGCCTCAGTATGTTTGCGGGTTCTTGAGCAAGGCCCTTAACCCCCAGCTCCCTGGGCGCCGCTACGGGTGGCTGCCCTTCGCGGACAACAAAAAAGAGCAAGTTGAGGGAGGCGTAAAGACAATTTCCCCACGGGGATCAATAAAGTATCGATTATTATTATTATATTAACTCCACCATTCTGTATAACCCTGTCAGTGACTGGCATCTGACGGTTGCCTCAGATGGGGCTGCATGGTCCCCCACTCCTTATTTTGGTACTTCCATGCCACCCCGCAGGGCGCTTTGACGAATCTGTGATCGAGGAGAGGCGCCAGTGCTCCGAGGACCTGCTGCAGTTCTCTGCCAACATTCCAGTCCTCTACAGCAGCCAGTACATTGAAGACTTCTTCAAGGTTTGTTGGACAAGCCCCACCTCCTTCTGCTTGCCATGCCCACCAGTGAGGTGTGGGTGGAGCTTAAGTCGATTTGTAGGATCGAAGGAGGTAGGGGACTTCAGTTATCCATGCATGTGGGGTGGCAATGAAAGGCGCCTTCATTGCTCTCCCCAGTTGGTTCGGGCTGGGTTTGACCAGGCAGTCAGGCAGTGACTGACAGTGCAGTAATCTCGCCCACTGTGGCTCCCAAAGCCTTGCTGTTCCTTGTTAAGGATCCCTGCTAAGTTAATGACTAAATGATGATACACAGATTGCTCAGCTCAGCAGCCACTATATACAATGAACTTATCAGGGAGGTAGTGTTCTCAACAACAAATAACTTTAGTCATTCATTTTTTTAAATAAAATTTGAAGGGAGGAAACTCCTATGTTTTTCGTTTATGTTACTGTTGCTAGGTTTAATTAGCCCATCATAACGAACACAATCTGCTGAAAGGACAGACGATCTGTGCGCCCGTTCAGTCGGTGTAGTAAACAGCGCTCACTTGACCATTGGTTCTGTTCCAGGGAGGCGAGGTCCACGACGGCTCGGAACTCATTGGGCCGCCAGAACCCTTATCAGACTTCCTCGCTGACAGCTTGTCAGACTGCAGCTCTGAAGGTAGGACGGCCTGCGGGTCGTAAAGTGGCCAGCAGAGGGCTCTGTGGTGCCACTGGATGTAACATGCATGTCTTGGTGGAGGGATAGCCTTTTGTCAGCTGGATTCTTCAGATATTATGTTTGAAGGATATGTATTTCATAGACAACAGGCACGATGGTGTGTGGCTCCGTGGGACTTTCACTGGAACCCTAAGGTCCTTAACTGTAAAAACCTTGCTCAGGACACTGCATAGATGGCTGACCCTGTGCTTTGAAAAGCAGTGCTGGGCCACTGTAACCCTGGAGCATGTCCGAGGAAGCACAGGGCACCTCCGGGACAGGATGCCAGTCACTTGTAAGGCACATGGAGGCATACCCACATAGTGTGGTTTACAAATGCCTGCTGAGTAAGCGCATGGACTGCGAGGGGGAACCCCCACAGCATGGGGGAACCCCCACACAGAGCTGGGGCTGGGGTTCCCACCCCAGACTACCGTGCTAACCGCTAGGCTCCAGTAAATCAAAAAGCCTAAAGTTTATTAAATTTAATGTGCATTTAGTATCAGACATTATTTACAGTTATATAAGTATATACAGTCCATACAGATGTATAAGCTCTAACCTGAGGTTAGTCTGAGGAAAGCGCAGTCCATTGGCTCCACAAACCGACTTTTTAATCACCCTGGACTTTATGGGAGTGGTCATTTTTTGCAGATTGCTCTGATTGGCCAAAATAATCTTGGGCCATGCCACTCTGTTACTTGTAAGTTTGTGTGTTACTTTGGCTTTTACAGAATCACTGTGCCATAAATTAATTGTCCAGGATTCAGTATTTACTCAAATATATTTGTGTCCTTTTTTCCTGCACAGTGTACCGTGTTTGCATGGGAAGTATTTGAATGCACAATTGTTTGAATATATTTTTTATTATTATTTTTATGGTTATTGCTGTTAACCCCCCCTGAAAGGTGGCACACGTGGAGCATTCTGGCCTTGTGGCGTTTTGATAAGAGGCTTGGGTGGCGGTGGGGGGGGGAAGACAGGAGGAATGGTCATGTTTCTCCAGCAGCTGTGACCCAGAAAAATGACGGGCATCATCCGGCAGTGCCAGTCGGTCCCTGTGCCCCTCGCCCGCATTGTTCTCGCAGAGACACTTCATCCCAGGCGCCACTAGAGGGCAGTGATACAGAATACAATGCAGTCCCTGCCTCCGGAGAGAATCTGGCTGATGGGAATTCTGTTACCAGAAGGGACAGGGAAAGGCAGCAATGTGGGAACTGGTTTAAAAACATTTACTTTCTTTTTAACTGCACTTCAGTCCCTCCCCTAACCTGAGGCCCTGCTTCCATGGTTACATGAAAACATGATAATAAAAACACTGTTGCAGATTCATGTCGCTTTATAAGAGGATCAGTCTCCAAAAAGGTGTAACATAAACAAAGCACAGGTGGCCTCCAGGTTTGCTGTTTGAGCCACGGGCCGACGCCTTGGCCTGCTCCTCTGACTGCTGTGTGCCATATGACTTAACTGAAGGGGACGGGCAAGTTCGTTGCTGGCGGCTCGCTTGGGACACGGTGATGAATCTCAGGCGGATTTTGCAGTGGGTACATCGTAAAAACAGCCCTCGTACTCATGCTAACGTGGGTTTTGATGGTGTGTCGGCTTGCTGCTGCTCTTGACTGGCGTGTCAGTGTGCCTCATTAAGGACACACCGCGATAGAAAAAAATTCACATTGCGATATTTGATTTTTTTTTAATTAATATTACAATATCTATAAAACAAAAAAGTTTAATTTTGCCAGAAAAAAACTATAACCTAATAGAACTTATCTACTAATAGCGTCTTAAATAAGTTGGCAGTGCTGCCGTGGGCTGAGCCAACAGACAGAGAACAGTGTCTACAAATCAGTCTTTTGATCAGTGTCGTCTCTATGGAATCCGACATATTTCCATATCGCGGAAGCCAAACGTCTTTTGGTGACCAGTTCTTGTTTGCGTTTCTGCTCCTCACTAATTTTTGATAAATTTCTCACAAATTTGCTGCACAATCTATGAATGAGTCAAACAGAAAGTGCAAGAATGAACAGTAAACTTAAGACTTTTTTTTTTTTGCTACATATACATCGTCTTGTAAAGGAACAGTTATTAAAATAGTTATTAAAATTGCAGAGCCTGCTAAGCAGAGTAAAAGAGTACAAATGTTTTAGCGTAACTTATTGCCTTAATCCAGCTCGATCCTTGCAGTGTAACAGTTGCATATGCATAATAATGTTGACATTAATATCGCACATTCTGCAGCTCTGGGTTGCCTTTTGCAGCATGCTACAGGATATTTATACACTTGTATGCTGTGTGTTCATTTTCTGTTCTCAGTTCAGAAAGACGTCGGAGGGGTGGACGATTCGACAGCTGCCAGTCATTCTGAATATGGAGGTACGTGCTGCTCATGAGGTGGTGGGTATGAATGAATGAATGATGTTTTAGCAGGACAAAGACCCCCTTATGGGTAAAAACAGACCCCAGAGCTTCACAGTGGGTGGCTTGTGTTCCTGGCTTATTTAGGGACCTTTCGGTGTTCTTGGGCAGTAACAGACTTGTGTAACACCTTCGTAGCCAAGGCCAGCATATCAATGGCTTCCTAACACCCTTCCCCTGTTGTTCATGATGGGCATTTTCTCTCAGGTAATATGATGTGGGTCTGATTTTGCCATCGTATTGGCATGTGGTGCCGCAGGGCTTATTCCGATATAATTTCAGACTCATTATAGTCAGCCATGTTAATAGTTGTGTGTTTGCTGGTTTTCTGTGTGTGGCTCTGCAGGTTTAGACTCTGTGCTCATGATCAGAAGGTCAATGGTTCAAATCCCGTGGCCAGCAGAGTGATGTCACTGTTTCGCCCCTGAGCAAGGCCCTTAACTCCCAAATGCTCCAGCAATGCTGGTGCAATTGTCAAATTTGGCTTATGTCCTGAGGGTTGGATGAAAAATGTTTGTTGCACGGGCATGGGAAGTTCTTGCTATAATTATTTTCACCAGGTTTTCACCCCCCTACACACACACACACACACACACACACACCGAGGGCACTGGGGCATCCTAGATCTGGTTAAACATCATCCATCTCTTTGGTGGGGCTGCTCTGGAAATACCATTCAATCTGATTAATTTCTAATCTGATAATCCCCCAGCAGACATCTGGAGACTTGCGGCTCGTCACTGAATAGGAATTTAAGGATGCTGTGCCCTTTGAATCCGCCCATGTCTCCTGATGCACATTTTGGGATAAAGTGATAGTCCTCTTTCAATATCTTAATGAAGATTCATTCCAATATGTTAATGAAGATTCAGAATCAAGATGATAAATAGTTGGGTGACTTTGTGAAACATTTTAGTGCCTTCCGTGAAGTTTTAGCTGGAAGCTGTAGGAGAATGTTCTAGAAATATGTGTTTTGTCACAGCCTAGTTTGGTAAATGGAAGGTTCTGAATGAATTTGTACACAGGAATACTTGTGCTTCTTCAATGATGGGTTATATACGTGTGGGAACCTCCGCAAGTCCTCACTCAGCTGCTCATTGAAAGCATCCATAACTACAACTATTGTTCTTCTACTCTTTCTTCTTTGACCACCGCTCTGTGAAAGTCAGTGCTGCCACCTACTGGAAATACTTAGTCATGCACTGTCAATTCTTTGCAGCCGGTGGACACAGAGTGACCCATGTCCCCGACTCTGTCAGGTATCTCCAGCGACAGCGATCTGATTTCCCTGCTGGTGGACACGGACTCCCTGGCCGACGTGGACGATGGAATGGCCTCGGACGGGGACTCGCCGAACAAGCCACCCCGCGGCTCTAGCCCCTCGCCGCTTCCCCAGCTGCCGGACGACTCCCAGGATGTGGAATCCAGCCGGGCCAGCAGGGCGGCGGTCTTCCCCAGTGCCCTGAGGCCGCGTGCGGGAAAGAAGGACTATCTGGAGAGGGCCAGTGAGCAGATCAGGCTGGCAGTGCAGAGGGAGGGGGAGCAGGACTATCAGGCTGCCTTCTCCTTCTACCGCAGTGGCGTGGACCTGCTGCTCCAGGGTGTGCAAGGTACTGGAGCCACTCAATCTCCCACTAGTCCCCATGTGATATTAATGTGCTGGGTAGGAGTGTCTGAGATCTCCCCTGGACCGCCTGCTTCCTGGGCCTGCCCCATTCCTGATCCTGGCTCCGAACTGGGAATATCCTGTTGTGGGATTTTGTGGGGGTGGGGGGGACGTTTCTGTAAAATTAGCGCTCCGGTTGGTTAGATTAAGTGGCGTGTCGCACTGCCTGCTGTAGTCAGCAATGTTCAGCAGTACTGCGGTGTTCAGGGCGTGTTCAGGCAAGTGCGGAATGCTGCCAGGGAACCGGAGTGATCATGGAGCTGACTCGTGCCTCGCAGTTCTTCTGGATGGCCAGCAGGAGGCGACGTCCCTCCCTCTATCCAGTCAGGTGGAGTCTGTGGACCGGAAAGGCAGGCAACGGACGTTCCCCCCTGGTGCACTTCCGTTAAACCCTTCAAACCGTTGTACTTTCAGATTCTAATATCCTGAGTTTTGTGTTGTTATGGGGCTGCACATCCTGACAAGATATCAGAGGACGACCATTATAGGCAGGATGAGTTTGAGTTTTGATAAGGCAGACTTTGAGGGATGTCTGCTGCGAATGCTGCTCTTAGTGAAATCACTAGGTGACTGTCTCTGTGTCCTGCACCTGCTGTTTCCCATGAATCTACATTTAAGGACCCCTCGCGGTGCCGCTAGGTCCGTTTGCGGTGCGTCACTGGTTAAGTCTTCCATGGCATGTAGGAACAATGAATTGAATGAATTGAATCTTAGAATGATGTTGGTGTTTTAACTGCTCACCCTGATGAGAAACACTATTTAGGGGGAGAAAATGGCAGCACAACATCAAGTGTTTGTTTTGGTTGATTAACTGTTGTAGCACTATGACCTCACACCTCGAGGGTTGTGGGTGCAAGCCCCACCCCCAGCCTGGTTCGCATCTGAAAATAATGCATGTTATCAGACGTTCTGAGAGCGGCGCTGCTGCATGGCATAATTACGGCTGCTGCAGCGTAACCTGCAGGAGAAACGCGCTCGTTCACCCCGACGCGTTAATTGGGCGCTTACGCAGATGTTTTCCTGTGTTGTTGTGCAAATAGTTTGTGGGGTAATTAGGGGGCGGTCGGAAGAGACGGAGCTGCTGTCATGCTGGGGCCCTCGGGGGCGTCCTCTCAAGGTCCACGCTGCCCTCCTCTCCTCTCCCCTGGGGGCTTCCTGTGCTGAGAGGGGGGGTCCTTCTTGCTTCACCGTGTGACTGGGACTTTCTTCTGTGGCTCTGCGCTGTGTCGGTGCGCAGTGAGATTCTGCTCGGTAGGGGCCCCGCCTTGTTCCCAGAACGGGATCCTCTCTCCCGCTCCCTGTAGAGGAGTTTGTTTTGCTGTAAAGCCACCTTAGTTGGCCAGGTCCTCACTGGTCATTGGTCAGGGGGTCCTCTAGAAGGTCTGGTTTTAGGGGGTTCGTTCTTCACGTGTCCTCTGTGTGGTGATGGGGTTGACCCCCGGCTTCAGAGCCCGACCCCCTGGCTTCACAGCCGGCTGCGTACCTGCCAATCAGGAGTGGCTGATCGTGGTACCCGTGTCCATCCCCTGAGCTGGTATTGCCCCCCCTTGTTATCTGTGTTGGGTCTCCGATATAGATATGTGTTTTGGGGTGGGGGGGCTGATTTTCTGTTTCTGTTCTGGTGCCCCAGGTGACCCCAGCCCCACGCGGAGGGAGGCGGTGAAGAAGAAGACAGCAGAGTACCTGATGCGGGCCGAGCACATCTCCTCTCGGTACCTCCGAGACGGATCCGAGGTGGGACGCGCAGAGTACCTGACGCGGGCCGAGCACATCTCCTCTCGGTACCTCCGAGACGGATCCGAGGTGGGACGCGCAGAGTACCTGACGCGGGCCTAGCACATCTCCTCTCGGTACCTCACCTCCGAGATGGATCCGAGGTGGGATGCGCAGAGTACCTGACGCGGGCCGAGCACATCTCCTCTCGGTACCTCCGAGACGGATCCGAGGTGGGACGCGGCTCCAGCCTGGTCAGTCTCACCCAGCGGCAGTGAAGCTTGTATTACAGGCAAAACGCAGACGGACAATACAATGACCGGACTGGGGAAACAAACTGAAACGCGGACGAAATATAGAGGACTAATGACAACAACCAAAAACAGCTGATCACACGAGGATTCCACGCGGGGTTAACGAGTGGGCGTGGCACACGAAAGGAGCGGACGATCGGGGCAGGACACATTTATTTTCTTACTTTACAAATTACTGTTTTGATAAATGTGCTTAGATGTGTTTAGTACAATATATGCTCTTCTTGTTTTATTTTAATTTTTTTATTTTAGCATTTTGTGTTTAAATGCTAAAAAAAAAACATATTTAAGTGTAATTTTTTGGGGCCGGGAACCAATGAGTTGGTTTTCCATTATTTCTCATGGGGAAAATTGGATCACAACTCGAACTTTTTAGGATTCGATCCGGAGTTCTGAACTGTATTTATTTAATTATAACGACTGAAGTGAGTGAACATCATTCTTTGTTATTGATTCTTTGAGACTCTAAATCTGAATGTTTTGGTTTAATTTCACATTCTTGGGAAGCAGACAGATGGCATGCTGTCTGTCCCCCGCAGGCCACCGTACTGTGGTAAAAATCACAGTTTCTCAGGGGTGCTGTGACGAGCCCTCACTCTGTGTAGAGGGCCAGACTCTGCATGTGTGTCAGGTCACAGCCTAGTGAGGGTTTATGGTGGAGGCCTCAGTGTTTGTAATGTAAACTGTAAATTGTTTTTAACCATCTGGGATTCAGTGGTAGGGCCATGCGGTAGCTCAGTCGGTAGCTCTGTAACCTACACACATCAGAGGCTCCTGTCTGGGGTGTTAACCCTGCGAGAGCCCTATGCTGCGTGGGATAGCCCCCCCCCACAATGCCAATGACCCCGATCAGGAAAAGCCGTCAGAAACAGGCAGATGATTGATTACTGTACTGTGCTGTAGCTACCACTGACAGGGCTAGCTTTAGCGTTAGCATTAGCGTTAGCCTGGGGCTCTAAGCCGTGAGGAAAATCGTGTGTGAGAAAGGAAGATGGTAAAGGGCCCTTTTAGCCTTGTGTAACCGCCTGAGGTCGGGCGCGGGGGCCTCCAGCTCTCCTGCACCGGGGCCATGATTGATGTGTGATCTTTGATGCCCTCTGCCAGGCCCCGGGGGCGCTGGGTTCAAGGCCCACCTGGAAGCAGAGGAACCCCGCAGAGGAGCTGAAGATCTTTGGGGTCCTCGGGGTGATCGACAAGGTGAGTCTTGAGGGTGTCGGAGGGGGCGGCAGCCTGGCCTTTGAAGTTGGGATAGGGGTGGGGGCGCGGAATAGAAGAAAGGGACCTTTTATCTAAGCAGATCTTGTAAGGTCACGCGAAGTTTGCAGGGCAGAAAGGTCAAGCCGAGGGTTGTGATGATTTATTCAGCGCTGCGTCTCTGTGAGTCTTCATCGCTCGTTAATACTTCACGCCAGCTAAATGAATTAATGAATGCGCCAAGCGTCTGCAGGCCCACTTCCTGTCCCGCCGTGACTGTTTCGAGGGGGTGGACCTCCATGAACTCGAGTCAGTGGTAGGTCTGTGTCGGGGTAAGAGGGTAAGCCGCCCCCCCCCCCAGGTGGATTCAAAACCAGGGGGATTCCCAGTCGGTTATCCATCAAGGCCATCAGCAGGCACCAGATGGGAGGTGTCCATTCTCCTCCTGTTTTGGTGAGCCCTTCACCTTCTCCGTTTAGGTATGACATCTACAGCTTTTCCTGTAAGTGTCTGTGTGTGGCTCAGCCAGTTTGGATGCGGTTCTTATCATTGGAAGGTTGTTGATTCCAATCCCAGAGTCGGAGTGATTTCGACTTTGGGTCCTTGGGCAAGGCCCTTATGTTTCTCAAAAATATGCATCGCTTTGGAAAAAAGCATGTGCTGAATAAATAAATGGATAGTCGGGAGAAGGTTCTGTCGGGTTTTATTGACAGTCAGATGGCCTCCACTGGCGAGCTGACATCCCCCAGCGATGCACGCAAAACATACCGTTAGCCTCACGCCTGCTCCATCCCGGGCTGGCGGCCGGATCCGCGGCGAGCCGTTTCCCGCTTTTGGGCAAATTAAAATGTGGCCAAACGCTCTGTCTGATTGGCTGCTGGGGCCGCGACGAGCTGAGAGCCGGGTCGGCGTCCCGCGTTTCCCTGGAGATCAGGACTCCGTCCAATCGCCCGACCCCACGGCAGAGCACATGCTAGAGTGGGAACTGATCCAATACCCAGGGCATCTAGAAGATCAGCTTTGGGTCCAGTACCAATAAAACATGGACCATGGGCTCACGTTCCTCCAGTTCATGCAAATCCCCTCCCAGGTGGATAAATAAGCATCTGCACAAATCTCTGAGAAAGACTTCAGAAAAGTAAATTATAAATCCATAACAATGAAAGCCTGATGGTAATTGTAGTATTTAAAAGGTGACGGGAATTGTAGCAGCAAGTATTGAAAAAATTACATTGAAATGAATTTTGACAATGGAAGCTTTCTTGTAACCTCTATGTGTTTGGTTGTTACTCTTGATGTGATTTCATTGGCCGATGCAGTCGATTGTGGTGGTTTGACAGTCGATGTAGAGAATAACCTGCGTTTGGGAGGTTTCTCTGTGAGCGAATTTCATTGCTGACGGGACTGAAGCATCCGGAAGCGCGGATAGAAGCATAACGTTCCTTCAGCCACACACTGCAAAAGCTTCGACCTGGACTGCGCTCAGCAGTCATGGATGCCACAGTCTGTCCCTGGCCTGGAAGCTTCTGGAAGATGGCCCGTTTCCTTGGGTTTTCACACCGCGGACAGAAACCGCTCTGCCTGCTCGTGGCCGAGCCGCGGCCACATGACCGCCGGCCCGCGCGTTTCCGTCACGGCTCGCGGTATTGTCGTTTTTTTTGGTGACTTTTTTGCAAGCCCCCCCTTCCCTGTATTTGCACAGGGACTTTCTCACGCCCTCCCCAGCCAGCGACTCGCTTTTCTGTCACGGTAATGATCTCATGTTTTAACAAGCCCCCCCATTTCCCGGCAGGTGAAATCAGTCCACGCCGTGAGAAAAATGGGGCCCCCATCTGGCTCACGGCCGCCCCGTCCCAGCGGGGAGCCAGCGGGAGGCCGGGCCTCGGGCTCACATGCCCACCGACACACACACACTGCCTCCTGGTGGCCTTGGAGCGCGCGCGGCTCCTCCGGCGCTCCCTGCAGGGGTCCCCCCGGTGACGGACCGGTCCTCGCCGTCTGCCGGCTTTCGGCAGGACTCCTTCAGTCTGTTCGCCCGGACCGGGGCCGCGGCAGATGGCGGGACCCTCGGACTTCCACCGGGCCTGAGGGCCTCTCACTTCCTTCCTATTTATTTATTTCCTTCTGCCCGAGTGTTTTGATGAAGACTCAGCGGTGCAGAAGAAGCTCTTCTGTCGCGGGGGTGGGGGGGGCGGGGGGGGCGGAGAGGAGGCCGTGCTCACCGTGCCCGCTTCCCGCTGGCGGACCGGAGCTGAGGGACTGGATGAGTGGGGGGGAAGTGCTGCCGGGCTGGGGGAGAAGCTGGACTCCGACTTGCCTCCCCAGTCCAGCTCTGCCCTTGGCGGGGGTGCGGTAGTGGCAGCGACTCTGTGTCATGTGACTTCCCAGGACCTCTCCGATGTCATGTACCATCTCTTCCTCTTTATGGTGCTGAAGGGTTTTTTTTTTTTTAAAAAAACATTTTGTCTGTAATTAACTCCTATTCCATAGCACAGAGTGATCATAGTGATAATTTTTTAAAATATTTCTAATTTATTTACCCGACGCTTTTATCCAAAGCGATGGACAAGCAAGCCATGGAGCAATTGGGCATTAAGTGCCTTGCTGAAGGACCCAATGGTGAAATCATTCTGCCCATCCTGGGATTTGAACCATTACTTTTAAAGCTATTTTTGGGTTGATTTGTAGTACATGCTTTTGGATGATCTGTGTTTCAGGAATTTTACAGCCAAATTCTTACCTTTAAAGGCTGGTTCACACTCCTCCGCATGTGTACACGCAGACATGTCCGCACGAACGTTTATGACTTGTACATCATCATCCTCATCTGCGGACAAACGCACGCACGGACAGTGCACATGCAGTTCTGGACACCCTGCGCATGCGTAAGCTCTTCCTCCTCAGTATCTATGTTGGAATGACATAGCAAGTACGCAGCGTGCGCATGCATGCAGTGTGTGTCCTCTACGGCACGTTGTCCACATGTGTAAAATGCGTGGCTTGACTGGAGAACTATGAACGTTTCCGTGTCTGCATACACGGTACGAACGCGTGAGTGTTTGTGCGTGTGCGGAGAACTATGAACCAGCCTTAATAAACCTGAAATCACAGCACAGTCCTGGATCCAAGGGGGCCTTTCAAGTCCTGCAGGATCAGAGCTGGACCCCCCTCCCATATACACCCAACTGACCATTCAGTGTCTAAGCATCTTTTTACTCCAAGCAAAAGCCAAAAGACACAGTTGATAAATTCATATTTCTCTTATTATGCAAGAAAGCTTTTTAATGACTTTTGGTTTTTTTTTCTAAACTTTAAAAAAATTTTTTTTTTTACCTTACAGGACGTTTTTTTTTCTCATTTCATGCAGCCAGATACTTAGCTCAAAAAAGTTGGGTTAGTCTGTCTCTGTCAGGGGCACTACAGCAGGGCGCCCCCTAGGGTCTCGAACCTGCAACTCTGGAGTCCACCTTCTGTTTCGCACTCCCGGCACCTTGTTCGTCATGTAAGGTGAAACTAGGTAGCCTCTGTTGCTTAAATATGGACGAGCAGCTGTGCCATTTTAACCTGAGAGGCTTAGTGTGTCGCAGGGGGCTGGGGGGGGGGGGTTGCTCTGTTCTCTAGGGTGCTGGAGCAATGTGTGCCCCCCCCCCCACCTCCCTCAGGGGCAGCCCTCCTTCAAGATGGAGAACAGCTGCTCAGTGGTGACCTGCCCATTTCTGTCCCCCGGCCCCCCTTCCCGCACGTGGCGGTATTACGGAGCCGCGGCCCCAGGACAGATGGAGGGCCCTCGCCGGCCCCGTGTTTGTGCTTTAATTATATTAGCGCCACGGCCGCCTGGCTCACCAATGAATGTTTATCTACGGAAAGATCCATTATCATTTAGCCAACACCTGTTCGGGAGAAGGCCGAGGTCAGGGATCAGGATGTGAGAGAAACGGGCGGAGCCGCTGCAGCCAGCAGAGGGCGCCCTATTCTCTGAGGTTGGGGGGGGGGGGTCCTCTCTCTGTACCTGCCATGCGTGTGTTTTAAGGTGTCCGTGTGCAGTTTTCGAATTTGAATTAAAAAGTACATGTATTAAATCGGCGAAATAAATGGCAGAGAGGACGGACGTTAGAGTAAATACCAAAAACAAAAAATACTTTTCTCAGATGCAGGTTTCTGTGCTGACTTTGAGTTTTGGATGGCGTTTAACGCCTGTACGCTGTCAGAAGAAGGGTACAACCTTGGTACAGTTTTGTTCCCCAAGGTACAGACAATATTAATGTACCCCCAAGATACATATGCAGCTAGGGTGCAACTGGCAGACCCTTGAGGGTACAGCCCCAGTAACAAGCAATTGTGCTTAAAGTAATTGGCTTAAAGGTACAAGCTGGTGCTTTTTCTGACAGTGTAGGTTCTTATACAAAGTCAGTAGCTGAGTGATTGCATACAGTTGTTCGTTATGCTTTTGTACGTGGTTCAGTTTCTGTACTCTGGGTCAGTTGTGGCATCTGCACAATAGGCTGATAAATTGATCTGAAAGGAAACATGCATTCATGATCTCAGCTGGAAGCAGGATTTAGGAGTAACAACAAAGGGAGAAGTAACCCTTTAGTAATGAGGGTGGTGGTGAAGTTGTCAGTGAGAGATCTGAAGGAGGTGGAGTGCAGGCATGGTGGGAGCTGCCCCCCCCCTCCCCCCGTGTGCGGAGTGTCTGTGGCAGAAAGGTCGCGCTCCATACATGTCTGTTTGAACATCTAGGGTGGGTGGGGGGGGGCAGGTTAGCTGTGGGCTGTGCTCTTGGGGGAGAGTCGAACAGGAAGTTTAGTGACATGGGTTAAATCAGACTGAATGAAATGGATGACAAACTGTAGAATAACTGCTTTAACTTTGCTTTAAACTCAGGATTTTAAGTGTATTCACTGGCAAGCTGTTAAAATTGGACTGAATTTGATATCAGTCTTGCTTGTCATTCTCAGCTCCCCTGGTATTGATCCACCTCTATTCTTCTGTCGTATTTATTCATGTAGTATTATTATTGTAATTTCTGTGTATATATTTCTTGTATATGTATATATGTGCATACCGCTCCGTTCTTCTGTAAACGTTATTATGAACAGATGATTGCACAGAAATGAAGTGGATGGTTTAGTGTTGCACCTGCCAGTTACTCAGTTAGTTGTTGCTTCTGGCTCCGTCCAGTCACCTACTTTGTGTCGTTTGGGGCCCCGGCATGACCGTAGGGCCCGTGCGTGGTTAGGAGAGCTGTAGCTACACACAGATGGAGGGGAGAAAAAAAAATTGTGATTCGGTAAATTCGGCCGTGCCAAGTACGGCAAGCTTCGGTTACGCTCGTACGATTAGTCTGTAACCCTCCGTGCAGTGTTGTCACTTTACCCATTTTCATTTTTTTTAAAGACCTTAAATGATGTCATTATGAAACGGTCTCATTTCAAGGTAACCCCGATGCCTCGTATTGCTGACGCTACATAAACTCTGAGCTGTACGGTCAAGTCTTTACAGCCCGGATGGTTCCTCTGCAGACTTTGCTGATGGCTATTAAATACAGGTGTACAAAATGTCCTCATTCTGAATTTTTTTTTTTTTTTTTTAATGGTTACATTTACTTGGATGCACGTAATGGTGAAATATTCATGTGAAAACACTCTGTTCGGTTTCCTTTTCAGGTTTTGCTGGTCATGGACAAAAGGACACAGGAGACCTTCATTCTCAAGGTAAGTTTTGCATTTATTGTTATTTTTACCATCAGTTTAATAATCAGTTACATTATGAGGACATAATGAGTGATGTATTGTCACTTAGTATGCAGGACCATGTGCTTTGATTTCCTCACTCCGGTCGTGGTTTAATAGCGACGTCTTTGTCCCTGTAAGGTGACAGCGAGCCGCCAGTCAGATGACTTAGTTTGCGAAACTCCCTGCTAAACACATTGACCCATGTAATTGATTTTAATGGCAGCTCCGTGGCATCTCCCGAGCGCTGGATGCCAGCCAGATGCCATCATCGTGCCCCCCCCCCCCCATCCCCCCCCCCCCCCCCCCCCCCCCCCCCCCCCCCCCCCAGGGGACTCCGGGGCCGTTGAGCCGGAGATGAGACCCTCTGTCTGAAGTAGAAAGTAACAAGAATAGATGAGTTTGCTTGATGAACAGGGGTGGGTGGGGGGGAGGGGGGGGGGATGCGAGGACACGCCTGACCTTTCCATTCCCCGTCAGGGCCTGAGGAAAAGCAGCGAGTGCGGCCGGAACAAAAAGACCATCATCCCCCGCTGTGTGCCCAACATGGTGCGCCTGCACAAGTTCATCGTCTCAGAGGACGCCGTCTTCCTGGTGCTGCAGCATGCTGAGGGTAGGTCGTCCACATCCTCACTGTGAAGCTCCTTTCCCCCCCCCCCTTCCTTCATTCATCCCTTTTATCCCACCTCCCCTACCTGGTGCTCTTTACGTTTTATTTTTCCGTGTCTTTATTATTTTTGTTTTTTTTTCTCCCCCCTCCGAGCCTCCATTACCGCGGGGGTCTCAGGTACCACTCCGTCACCGAGGGAGGGGCCGACGGCGCGGTGAGGAGAAAGGCTAGCGGCGGTGGGCTTTTGTCTGCGCGGGGCTCTGCCGCTCCTTCCAGCCACGGCGGCTTTTACCTGGGGGGGGGGGAGGCGGACTGTCTGCCAGCACGGCCCTGGTTTCTAAGTGTCTCACACTGTTCACCACTTTTGTCCGCTGTTATGGCTCCTCTGGCTCATTGCGGGGGGGCATGGGGGGGTTGCTGTACGCCTGAAACGCACACTGCGCGTGTGAAGGTTAAAACCCGCGTGAGCCCCGCACGGGGATGACTCGAGCCGGATCATTTACGTGCGCTAAATGACAGATAGCTAGCGTCCGACTTTTTCTATCATCAATGACTTCCTCCTGTTATTATTCTTGGTTTTTTTTTTCTCCACGATATGAAATTGGATATTTGTGCTCATTGAGATCACCAACCTCCAGAAAGCGTGCATTTTTTATTTCCGAAACATCAACCTGTTCCGCCCAGCTGTTGGCAGATGTGCACAAGACCGATTAACATTTTTCAAATTCTGTCCGACGTTTGAACTGAAACGGAGACTGATGACACCTGAGACTGATAGCTTGCGATGGAAAATGCTACTGATAACAGAATCCGGATCAATAGTTTTTATAAATTATGAATGTATTGCCAGACCATATGTTCTTTATATCAACGAACAAGCGCCATGCCATTGATGCAGAAAGGTCAAATTCGATTTCAAGTTGCGCCATTCGCATCGATACCGTCAGTGAGAAGCAATACAAATAAAATAAGCAGCGTAATGAATTATTAATTGGGTGTTGCAGGCGTCAGCCATTAATATTTTGTTTATGGTTATAGAGCGCAATACAGGGCGAATAGCGTTAAGATTTTTGTATTATATGTAGAATCACAATATTCGGTAGAAACATCAGAAATAAAATATGGGAACAGAAAAGGGTTCCTGGAGAAGATGGAATTCTTATAAAGTTTTCAGTGTTGGACTTTTTAGTGTTAAGTAATAAGTTGTTTCTTAGACGCTTAATTGATTGAAATATAACCTGAATGATGCCTGCAGCCTGTCTGCTGTGCCCTGACCTCCTTCCCTACATCTTCCTGGTTCAGCCTGGCTGGCAGTTTGACGAAGGGGCTCTCGTTTCACTGGCAGTGTTCGGCCAGTGTGCTCACTTTGCCTCCATTTCCCGGCACACTAGTGAGCTGCCATTGTCTACCGTTGATGACCCAAGCGACCTCACTCTCAGGCCCTTGTCCTCGCCCCTCTTCTGGTAGAGAGCTAGCTGCCACCCCTGTTACGCTCCAGCTGCTGGGCTGGGATGGACGACATCGTGGCTCTTCTACCTTGTCATTGGCCAGCAAAGCTTCCTCATCGTTGCTAGATTTATTGCTGACCATTAGTTCTTCAGCAAATCCAGGTATTACACTTATCGGATCTTGATGCCCCTGGTAACCATATAGCTGGAATTTCTCCAAAACATTCCGTCTTGTCTCTGGGTCTTCAGACTTGATCATTGTTGGGATGCTTGGGTCCGTTCCTCTTGTGGCTCCTTCTTTTACCTTCACCTCTTCCAAGCATTTCAGCCCTCTCTCATGCCCTGGGTCCACCCACAATATGCCCCAAGTAAGATGGCTCAGCTAGGTATGTAGCTGAATAATTTCACCGAAGCAGTTCACGGCAAGCATCTCGCTCAAGGGTACCAAGTCCGTACATCCCATGGGTCTTGAATCAGCAGCTTTAGGTCCAAGTTCTTAACTGCTACGCTGCACTCATAAGTCCTTGATGGGACGTTGCTGCCCCTCCTCACAGTTTATATACCCAGAATACACCACCAGCTGGGGGTGGGGTTAGGGTTGTAAAATTTTGATGGAAACTATTAGCATCCATCCATTCGTTTTCAACTTATTCAATACAGTTGCAGAGAACCATAACCCAAACCCAGGAAACATATGATACAAGGTAGGTTATCCATTGCTGGACAACCACACACATAATCACGGGCGCTATGTGCAATTTTGAGATCCCAATTCACCTAGCCAAATTGCGGGATTGTGGGAGGAAACTGGAGTTCCAAGAGGAAGCCAGTACAAGCTCGGGGAGCGCATGTGAACTCCAGAGTGCTACCATGATAAATATATTATTCAGGCTCTGATGAAGATGTGTCAGCTGAGCATGTAAGCAATACAAGATGATATCGATGGCATGGCTGGGCCCAGCTTGTTCTTGGAGAGCCTCGGACGCGTTCCCATAATTCCTCTGCCAATAGTGGATATTCACATACCTCCTGCTGAATTCTCAGTATGTTTCTGAGCTCTGATTTCATCTTGAACCCGTCCTGTTTGCCCGCTAACTGACAACTGCTCCCCCAGGCATCAGAAGTGCCTCCTGTGATGAGACGTTTAGGAAGTCCTTCCATTTAGGAAGTGCCAATCATGCAGACGTCATGCTCTGTGTTGTCCTCCTGCTCGTCTAGACCATCTCCGCACTCCATTGCTTTGCTTTTAGTACATGCATTATATTCATGCCCTACCTCACTTTTAAAGGAGGTGATATTTCTTGTTTAATATATGGCAGGTCTTCATTGCACATCATTTCAAAGACTAACATGTAGGCCGCTTTATACCTTCTGGCAAGAGTGGGTGACTATGAGAGATTTCTTTCTGAAAACCTCTATGTCTGCTGTTCTCTCTCTTTATAAAGTATTACTCTGTTGCTACATGTAAACCCAAGGAGATAGGTGGTCAACTCCTTCAAGGGGACTGTAAAGTTACTGAAGGTGTCCGGTGACTAACTTTGAGGACCGTACCCTGAGGATTACTGGTTAGAGTCCCAGGGGATTCTGCTGTAGTTCCGTGGAGTAGGGTGCTAATCCATTCATTTATCCTCCAACCTCTCATCTTCATCAGGGTCATAGGGTTAACCAGATATGATCTAGTCAGTTATCTGGCTAAGTAAATGCATAGTTTTGGGTTAGGAATATCAAATTGGCAGTTTACTTGAAGGTGTTTTCTTGTATCAGGTGGGAAGCTGTGGTCCCATATCGGAAAGTTCCTGAACAAGAGCCCAGAAGACAGCTTGGACATTCCGTTCATCCAGAAGTCCCACACAGCGGCAGTTCACACCAATGAGGAGCTGAGCTCCAGCAGCCTGGATTCTGGCCCCTACAGGGAGGGCGTCACGCTAGGGGTACTCCCTCTGAAGAGCAGCCTCACCCCAAGTTCCCAGGATGACAGCAGTACTCAGGACGAGGAGGCTGCCGATGGCTCCCAGCGGCTCCTGCTGGACTCTGGGGCAACCTCTGAAGAGGAGTGCACAAACAGTTACTTGGCCCTCTGCAATGAGTACGAGCAGGAGAAAATTGAATCAGACTCCCTGGAGGAGCATCCGACCCCAGTTGCCGAGGAGCCCTCGCCCCGGGCACACCCCCTGCTGAGTAGCGACAGCCTCTCCTCCCCTGTGATGGCTCAGGAATTCCGGTTTTTCGCTGAGGATGATCATGGCGAGGTCTTCAGCTCTGCCTGCCTCCCCGCTGACTCACTGGACCAGTCCAAGAACACGCCGATGGAGTTCTTCAGGATCGACAGCAAGGACAGTACCAGTGATCTCCTGGGTGTGGAGTCAGGAGACCGGCTGAAGTTCGAGCCCTCCAAGCCATTCCTCCCCTCCGGTGACCTGGAGGAGGTGACAGAGGTCGTCGGGAATGTCAAGCTGCCTCAGATGGACCTTTGGGGGGTTGATAGCGATAGGGGCTCCAATGAATCCGTCCCTGTCATTTCCTTTAAGGAAGCGGTGGTGGAAGACACGGGGAGCTGTGATGAAGGCCGACCACCAGACCTCCTGGTGAACCTCCCTGGTGTGGCAGATGTGGCAGGAGAGGAGCTGCCTATGGCCGGCCCGTCCTCGACAGATGACGCCAGAGTGTCCCCGAGGTTTGGGAAGCCGGATGTCCTGCAGCTTCACTATGACCTAGGGGATGATGTAGTCCTTGGCCTGTCTGAGGATGAAGGGGGCCCATCCTTGGTTTGTGCCCCCCCTGCCTCTGCAGCCTGCAGCAGCTCATTAGCTGAGCGTGGCGGTCTGCCTTCAGGCCTAGAGGCCTGCCGGACTCAGGCGACCGTCTCGCACGAATTGCGAGCCGTCCACGTTGGTTTACATGCTGCTCCAGAGAATGCGGACTCAGCCCGGCTCTCCCTGAAGTGCAAGCTGCATTCGCACCAGGACACTCATGACCAGATAGCGTCTGAAGCCTTTGGAGAAAGCGCTTCTGCGGAGATGGAGCCGGGCAAGGCGAGCGATGACGTCTCTCAGCTCTTTAAGGATCTGGATGAGCTCCTGCTTATAGCGGCAAACACTCACCTACCCGAGGAGTATGTTCAGCGTTGGGCGATGGAGATTGTCATTGCCCTCGATGCTCTCCACCAGGAAGGAATCGTCTGCCGGGACCTGAACCCAAACAACATCTTACTCGACGACAGAGGTCAGGCTGTTTTGTTTTATTTGTTTATCTGTTGTTTTGTTCTAAATTTATGTATTTTTTTTCTTTCCCTACTGGCTGTTGCTTCCAGTTAGCTGAGTAAATGGTTCGTCCCGTGATTACTACCATAATTTGCTATCTGAAGCCTCATTATCATCGCAGCAGATTTGCCCTCAGTAATAGCCTCTGTAGGCTAATGAGGGCATTATTCTTAATGATACCGTTTTAGCTACGAAAGAATAATTACAGTTAGTTTCTCCTTGATACACATTGGAAGGGGAGAGTGTTTGAATTTTATTTTCCTGTTATGTTTTCTTTTAAAGGACACATCCAGCTGACTTACTTTTGTAGCTGGAGCGATGTGGAGGATTCGTACGACCAGGAAGCCATCAGCGCCATGTATTGTGCTCCAGGTAGGAGCTGTATGGATGGGGAATTCACATCCCGAGTCTGGAATTTTAGTTTGATCTTCCCATATGGATCAAATTCCAAACATCTCTCTGTGTCACCTCATCTCGCTGTATCCATTGTAGTGTAATTTTTACATGCTGTATTTACTCTTTTCCCCACTTTCAATTTTCCCACTCATAAATTGGTATGAGATTTTACTAGTACAATTATACAAAATTCAATACTGGGCAGATAAAATTGAAAGAGTATTGTATTGTTCCCACAGATTCTTCATCACACTCTGAAAACATTTAAAAGATTTCATAAGATCCATTGCAGGATTAAATTGTCCTTCTAATATCTGTTAGACCGAATCGCTCTGTGTGGTTTTACACGGTACCTTCTGGCAAAATTTTATTGAGTTTGCCGTCTTCCCTTTCTGGATGCCAATTTCCACTTGATGAATCTTTGCAGCCTTAAGTCAGTAGAAGCACATGCAAATAGTTGTCCTAAAGCCGTAGATTGTCATTCATTTGGTTTTAATTGTCGGCTACGATGGTTGATGCTGGAAACAGGCCTCTGAGCCAAGCAAATATTTCAGTGGAAGTGGTGGGCCATTGTCCATCCTGTATAGACGGCGCTACCTCTTGTTTTATCTGTGCCGAAAGTCTGCTTCATTTGGCGCGCACTCTCCCTCTCTCCTGCCTCACCCTCCGGTGATATTTTTGTTTTTTTCAAAGCCGTCGCCTTTTGCTCAAGTCTCTGTGGCATGGGATAGACAGGGGTGGAAGGGGTCTGCCAAATTATAGTTATGAATTTGATTTAGACATTTATTTTTCTCATGAAATGATTATAATACGTGTTTTATGGCCACTTGTCACGTCTGAGGGTGTGTAGGTTTACCCTAATGCTCGAGTCAAGTGTCTTCGTGCTGAACCTGTTTCGAGCGCATCCGGGTCTGGGAGGCATCGGGGACTGCTCCATGACTGCCCCTTTCGGACGGGTGACGTCTCCGGAGTGTCCCGAGGGAGGGGGACCTGCCAGCGTCTGCATTTGTATGTCGTCTGCGGCCCCGGCGAGCCGCCATGCCAAAACGTCACAGACAAGCAACAGTTGCAGGCGGTGCCTCTGAATGGCGTGTGAAATGAGCGTGGATAATCTGTAACTGGCGTCCCGCATGCGAGGCGGCCCGGGCGACAAAGGGGATTTCGCTCTGAAAGCCCGACTTAACAATCGAGCCATTTTCTCCAAGGAGTACCCCGCCGACCCCCCCTCCTGGTTTTACCCTAATCCGGTCGCTGTAAGTAAAATGAAGAAGTTTTATGTCTGAAAACTCGTGCTCTGACTTAATAGCGCATTAGGATCATTATTTTTGTTGGTAATTGTGATCTTCAGCAGATGAGCGGCTGCCGTTGGGTCCTTGCTGGTCGTCCCTGGTGTGACTGGCGTTGTTGTAGTCGCCCCGTGTCTTATGAAGGACCACATCTACTTCAGAGCGATTGATGCCTTGTTAGCTGACCGCTAACCATTAGTAGTTTTTAACTTTCACATTATGGCACCAAAACAGGTAAAGCCATGAACACCTCAGGCTTGTCCTGTAATACGAACACTTCTTCAGCCTCTCACCTTCTAGAAAATTCTCGCTGTAGAAGCTATTCAAGAGTTTGAATAGTTTCCGCTGAATGGTGGACAGAAAAAAAATAATGTCTCTTTATATTGATTTATGTCATGTTTGTAATGTTTCATTTGCACTTCATTATTACTGTCATACTGTATAAATTCGAGCCTATAATCAGGATCCTTTTGCCACAGAATGGATGCTATGGCTTAAAATTTTACCTAAAGATTATTTTATGAATATTCTTCTGCTGCATGGTTTTTACCAGCTTCTTTAGCATCAGTTCCTGTCTGAAGCTGACACAGCTTGCAGTCTCGCGAGCCTCTTTCCTCTCCAGCCTGATGCCCCCGTAGTTTGTTTGATTATTCCGCCTCAGCTGCTCGGACTCTCACCACGCGTCTCATCTGCTCTCCTGTGTGTCTCGCCGCTCTTTAAATGGCCCAGCTGTCTGGCATAACCCCCCTCCCCCCAAAGATTGGACAGGTTTCCGTGGCTCCTCCCCCCGGCTGTCCCCTCTGAGCATTGCCCCATCCTGGTGCCTTTGGCTGATTGGGCTCGATGTGCCTGGGACAGTGGTCTACTGTCATGTAAGGCACTAGACCTGAAACCAGAGGGTCATAGGTTTAAGTGCTCTAGACCTGCATGCTGGAATAGCCGTGTCCCTGAGCAGGGTGCCCGAGATGAACAAATCATGAGATAATTTCTTAACGGTATTTTTGGAGTATTTATTCCTGTTGACACCAGTATATACTTGCTTAAAAATTCATAGGAAACCATCTCACTTTGCACATTAAATTACTGTTCGCACCCTTCTGATGCTCCTTGCTGGAAGCTAAACAGTCAAAGCCCTGATTAATGGAAGATTCCACTGATGTTCGGTGGGGTGGGGGGAGGGGTGATTACGGCTCCCCTGGACTTGTACTAAGTGAACATGTTTTGCCCTTCTTCGCTCCCCCATGACTGAATGTCATTACTCGGGTTCAAGGTGCTTTATTGCCATGTGTACACAGTGTGATGAAGTTCTTACCCAAGTGCTTTCTGTAGACCTTAATGACAGATAAATGCAGAAGCCAGTATAGTGGCTCAGTGGGTTGCACTATTGCATCTTACCTCCAGAGCTGGGGGAACAAATCCCACTTTTGTTCTGTCTGTGTGGAATTGGCGTTTTCTGGGAGGTAGTGTGTTGCTAACAGGGTTAGAACGCCGTTCTTGTCATTAGAAGGTCGCTGGTTCAAAACCATGTGTTCGGCCGAGTGATTTCACCCTTGGGCCCTTGAATAAGGGCCCTTGTTCCTACCCCCACCCCTGATGTTTCAAAAGCTAAATAAATAGGTAGAGCGTATAGTGAAGATGGTAGCCAGCTAGCTGGGTAGCAGAACATGTGATTTTAGTAAGAAAGGAAGACATTTATTTGATATTTAATGCAGTGACCTTTTGTCGCCAACAGGGGGCTGCCAATCCGAAGGGGCCCCACTCAAATGCATGGTTTGATGTAATAGTGCCTGATTGTCTGCAGTTGTTCAGATTTAACGAGTTTTGAAGCTTGAAGCTCGTAGACTTGCTGTCTGAGGCTAGCCTGCCCCCCCGGCTCTGCCAAGGGACATCTTTGACACCCAGGATCAAGACAAACGAGTACCGGCCATCGTCCGGTGACACTCAGAAGGGGCAAGAACTTCAGTTGATTAAAATGGTGGTGGAGCCTTTCCCAGTCTTCCCGGGCCCCCGCCAGCGTCGGCCGACAAAGACGTCGTGGAAAGAGCTGACGGCCGTCCTGGCGGCGCCCACTTTCAAACGCTAATGATCCCGAGCCGAGCCGGAAACACGCGTGACATTTCAGGGGGATGAATCGGTCGATCTTAACGAGCTGACCTTTTAATCAGACCTTCTGTGTATATGTGTGTGTAGGCGGGTATGTGGATTATGTTTATATTACATTGTGGGGAGCAAACGTCCCCCACAATGTAATAAAAACCTGTTGTTTTGACATTGTGGGGACCATTTTTCAGGTCGCCATGTTGGAATTAGAGTTTTCCCCATTGAAATGAATGGAGAGTCCCCACAAAGATTACAAACCTGTCTGTGTGTATATATGTACATATGTGTGTATATTTACAGTGCATGTATATTATTGTTGTGGCTGTGCATAAAACCAGACCCTATTATGCACTGTTATGTGGCGCTCTTAAGATTTTGTTCTGTTTTGTTCTGAATTCCAAATGGAAAACAGACGCAGTAAAGCTATCCTCCATTTTTCCCCACATAAAGCTGTCAACATTTCATGTTGGGCCTGAAACATTCACTTAAAGGAAGTGTTTCTCAGATAAGGTTGTGATTATGATTGTGATTGTGATTGTGAGGTGGAATTGAATCACCTTCAGATGGAGGATGCTGATGTTCCTGAGAGTCCCTTATACCTTTGGTGCTCCCACCTGTGTAACCGGGTCCTCTGTGGCCCAGTCTGCGCACTGCGTGGCGTTTCGGCGTGCAGTGCTGAGGGATAGCCAGTGGGTGGAGCTGTATGCTATCTGTCGCAGCAGCATACCCACCTTAGCAAGCTCAGACCCTGATAGTATGTCTGTTAGCTTGTTTTTCCGGCGTTTCTGTTTCCCTACTGGGCTCCACACGCCGTCATCCAGAGTTTAGAAAGCTGAGAAATCAGCCCAGCGCGCCTTCCTCATGGCCAAGGCGTGGTGTGGGAGACGAGCGTGACCAGCTGTCCGCGCACATCACCTCTGTTTGTTCTGTTATTCTGACTAAACAGAGATGTCTTTTAAATGGAAAATATTATGGGATGTCAGAAAATGTTTTTACATCATTCTGTTTTTGTTTTTTATTTTTTAAAGAGAATTTTCCGTGTATACTCCAAGAACACGCTAATAAATATGTGGATTTATGAGTTTTTAACCTTTTTGATATTTTTCCTTTTTGGTAAAAACAAAACCACAACAGAACAAATGAAATAAGAGTAGCAGTGCCCTGTTTGTGTCTTTCCATGCCGGTTACTCGGCCTTGAGTGTCCATGTGTGTTCTGCCGCCATCCTCCTGTCCTCATCGTTATGGAAGGACAGCAATGGAACCAGTCGGACCGGTTTCTGTTCCTTCATCTGGGCTGGGTCGGGCTGTGATATCCATTATCTCACTTTCACTCAGCATCACCATATTTATTTCCACTGAATTTAAGGGCATCATAAAGAACATGGTGAAGGAGACGCGGTTGTTTTTCTTGAGAGGCATGTTTAAATAGCTGTCTAATGTGTGGATTTTTTGTTTATCATATTGTAAATGTTGTATTTTGGCATGTCGTGAGTCTGTACGCCTGCTACCTTGACCTTCTCTCTTGTAAAAGAGATTTTAATCTCAATGGGACTTCCTGGTGAAATAAAGATAAATAAATAATTCTTAAAA